GTGTGCATAGCTCTGTGCACGTAGATGTGTGTGCATAGCCCTGAGTGCGTGCGTGTGTGTGTGTGCTCGCACACATCCCTCTGCGTGTGCGCTTTGCAGTGTATGTGCTCGTGTACCTCCTGTGTGTGTGTGTGTGTCTATCCCTCAGTGTTCCAGTGTCTGGGGGTGTAACTTGTGCGTGTTTGCAGGGACCCTGTTTCTGCAGTTGCTGCTTAACTGAGTTGTGTGCTCAGATTTGGATGGAAAGATGCTGTGTGTGTGTGTGTGTATGTGTGAGCTTCTAGGGAGGGATGTGAGTGTGTGTGTGCCCCAGGGCCGCCCAGAGGATTCAGGGGGCCTGGGGCAAAGCAGTTTTGGGGGCCCCTTCCATAAAAAAAAAAGTTGCAATACTATAGAATACTATATTCTCGTGGGGGCCCCTGTGGGGCCCGGGGCCTGGGGCAAATTGCCCCACTTGCCCCCCCCCCGGGCGGCCCTGGTGTGCCCTACACAGGGGTAGGGGTGTGCGTGAACATACCAGAATGCACAAGTCTCGGGGGCTGGAGGGGGGTCTGTCACAAATATGCCTGGGTCGGTGCATAGGATGTGCAACCAGTGTTGGAGGTGGCTGCCTGGGGGCCTGCTCGGACAGGAGGGAAATGCAGATCGGGGGTCCCCTAGGGACACACCTAGGGGTGAGGCTGCTGGCAGTTAAAGGCGGGTGATGCCAGTGTGGGCTGGCAGTGCCCTGGGAGAGCCGTGCTAGCCGTGGGATCTGGAAGCAGTGAGAACACACTGCAAGCAGTGAGGAGGGGAAGGTCTTGTGATAGCAGAGTTCACTGGACCCTCCTCGGATCTGTGGTTGCAGTGGGAACACACAGCGGACGGTCTGTGATTGCAGTGAATGCGCACTGCAGAACGTGTCTGGTATCTGTGATCGAGTGGAGCGGGGGGTCTGATCGCAGGGAGCGTTCACTGCAAGCCGTGTGTGGTATCTCTGATCGCAGTGCAAGCACACTGCACACAGAGGGGGACATGTAATTCCAGTGGGTGTCTGATTGCAGTGTGGTTCAGTGACGACAGTGAACACACTGTGTGCAGCACATGGTGTCCGCGTGCAGTGTGAGTGCCCTGCACACAACTGCTTCTGGCCCAGCACTGGGCAGCATGGACACCATCTTCCCTACAGTCTCAGGGTGAGGGCACTGCATGCAGTGCGGGAGAGGGGCTGTGATTACATTGAGAGCACCCTGCACACCGCATGTGTGGGGCTGTGATTGTAGTGTGAGTTGGGGGGTCTGTCATTGGAACATGGTGGGATTGCGATTGCACACTGTGGATATCTGTGACTGTAGTTAGAGTGCACTGCACCCAGCGAGGGGCATCTGATTGCAGTGTGAGCACACTGCGCTGGTCTGTGACTGCAGTGAGAGGGCACTGCACACAGCTGGGAGGTCTTGTGAGTGCACTGCATGCAGCATGTGGGGTCTGTCAGCGCAGTGTGAGCTCCCGGCATGTGGTGTGTGGGGTCTGTCCCTGCAGAGGACACCATGCTCCCCGCATTTGCAGTGCAAGCGCCCTGCACACAGAGAGGGGGCGAGCGCAGGGCGAGCGCACTGCATGTGGACAGGGGGCGATGGCAGTGCAGGTTCACTGCATGCAGGGAGGGGGCGATCGCAGTGCGTGTGCACTGCATGCAGCAAGGCTCCAGGCTACAGCCAGTGTCCCTGGTGTGCAGCAGGGTCCGTAGCTGCGGTGTGGGGCAGGGCGGCGAGCGCTCCTGAACCCCCCTGATGTCCCCCCCCATCTCTTGCAGTGACTACATCATTAAGGAGAAGACGGTTTTGCTGCAGAAGAAGGACAACGAGGGGTTCGGTTTTGTCCTACGTGGAGCCAAGGGTGAGGGGGCCACTGTGCTGGAGGGGGAGAGCAGGGGCTGGGAGGCCGTAGAGGGGTCCCCCATGGCTGGCGCAGCCCAGAAGGGTACCTCGGAGGGGGCCCATGGGGGGGTCTGTCCCGGGCGGGGGGTGCAGCGGGAGGAGCTGCCCAGGGGGAAGGCGGGCAGGAGGGTTCCCGAAACATCCTTCCCCTTCCTGCCGCTGACCCCGCGCTCTCCCCACAGCGCAGACCCCGATCGAGGAGTTCACGCCCACCCCGGCCTTCCCCGCCCTGCAGTACCTGGAGTCCGTGGATGAGGGGGGCGTGGCCTGGCGTGCCGGCCTCCGCATGGGGGACTTCCTGATCGAGGTAACGGTGGGGGGGGGGGGTTACTCCCCTCGGAGCGATGGGGGAGTCACTCCCCACCCCCTCCTGTCACAAGTGAGGGGCACTGGAGGAGCTGGGGGCAGCCCAGGGCTGGGCTGGCAGGGGGCTGCGGGTCGGGAGTGAGGGGCACCGGCAGGGCTGGGGGGGGGCAGGGATGGGCTGACAGGGGGCTGTGGGTCGGGAGTGAGGGGCACCGGCAGAGCTGGGGGTCGAGGGGCTGAGCGAGCAGGGGCTCCCCTGACCCTGTCCCTTGCCCCCCAGGTCAACGGGCAGAACGTGGTGAAGGTCGGGCACCGGCAGGTTGTGAACATGATTCGCCAGGGGGGCAACAACTTGATGGTGAAGGTCGTCATGGTAACCAGGAACCCTGAGATGGAAGAGGCCATGAGAAAGAAAGGTGCCGTCTGCCCCGCCCCCCAATGCCTCCTCCACATAGGGGGCAGGACGCCTGGGTTCCACCCCCGGCTCTGGGAGGGGAGTGGGGTCTAGTGGTTAGAGCAGGGGGGGCTGGGAGC